TTAAACTCTAGATATATACACTTTGATTTCTCTGTGTATATCACTTAATTCTCATCTGCAGTAAAGCAGCTAATCTAGCTAGATCATGTCTATGAGCTTCTGCAGTAAGCGAGTTCTTGAATATGGGGTTAAGTATCTGAAGATTTGAAATTTATATCTGTATTTGCCATGAATGTTATTTATTCACAACATTACATACTGTCAGCTCTACAAGGACTGCTGGTAGTTTACAAAAAGCTGAAACATAAAATCCATTAAGAAAACAAAAAAGAACATAAAACACCATTTCTGCGTATCTGGCATCTAGTAAACAGCTTTTGGATGTTCCTTATTGATAAAAGTTCTGTGGAAGAGCTCTGCTTTAACTCTCTCCAAAAGCCTTGTTAGGGAGGGTACTACTCAGGTCTCTGGAATTAAGCTGTTCATAGCACTGAGGCGTGCCCTGAAAGACATCATGCTCTAGCCCCCTCTCCCTTGATCTCACATGGGAGACACTCAGTATCCATTAAGGTTAAGCAAACTGGACAGATAATTTCTCCCTGAAGTAGGTGTTCCTACAGATACCTAGGTGTCAAGCCATCAAAGGTTTGATAGGTTAAAACTAGCACTTTGAATCAACTTCAGAAGCGGAAAGCCTATGCAATGCCTATAAAACCAGTGTTATATGCCACTGGTGGCTCTCACTCCGGTAGGTGGTCCATTGCATTTTCTATCTACTGTAGTTTCTGAGTGGACTCCATGTAGGGGGTCCTTGTGGTAGTTGATTTGAGGGGTGGTGATGTCAGTAGCCATTGCTTAGTACATACCAGTATCAATACTGAAACTGGAAATTAATATGCAGAATATACAGATAACTTTCTTTCAAACAGCAAATTCTGGGAAGCCAGTAGAAGTCTTTCAGTACAATAAGGGTTTGAGAACCTACAGTGGGGCAAAAAAGTATTTAGTCAGCCACCAATTGTGCAAGTTCTCCCACTTAAAAAGATGAGAGAGGCCTGTAATTTTCATCATAGGTATACCTCAACTTACTGGTATGTACTAAGCAATGGCTACTGACATCACCACTACTGGTATGTACTAAGCAATGGCTACTGACATCACCACTACTGGTATGTACTAAGCAATGGCTACTGACATCACCACTACTGGTATGTACTAAGCAATGGCTACTGACATCACCACTACTGGTATGTACTAAGCAATGGCTACTGACATCACCACATGTTTTGGTCTAAACTCAACTCGTGTTTGGAGGAGAGAGAATGCTGAGTTGCATCCAAAGAACACCATACTTACTGTGAAGCATGGGGGTGGAAACATCATGCTTTGGGGCTGTTTTTCTGCAAAGGGACCAGGACGACTGATCCGTGTAAAGGAAAGAATGAACGAATGGGACCATGTATCCTGAGATTTTGAGTGAACACCTCCTTCCATCAGCAAGGGCATTGAAGATGAAACGTGGCTAGGTTTTTCAGAATGACAATGATCCCAAACTACCCCCCGGGACAACGAGGGAGTGGCTTCGAAAGAAGCTTTTCAAGGTCCTGGGGTGGCCTAGCCAGTCTCCAGATCTCAACCCCATGGA